AAAGGCATCAATTCTTCAGCGCTCAGCCTTCTTTATGGTCCAGCTCTCACAGCCATACATTACTACTGGAATATAATGCATTGCAGTAATCTAAAAAAGAAGCTACCAGACATGATATCTGTTGTAAGGCTCTCTGAATTCTAGTAGGCTCACGATCAGTAAGGCTCAAATTTTTCTAAGTCGGAAAAAGGCATTTTGAGCACCAGAACTACCTAGTGTCAAATAACAGTGAAGGATTTAAGATCAAGAATATGTCCAAGCAGCATACCTTGTACTTCAGGGGGAGTACCTTCTTTACCCCAATAACATAATTTAACCAGACAAATATACCCTCTAACAATATCTGTGACTTCTCTCAACTGAAACTCAGTTTATTAGTCAGGAGGTGCTCTGTCATGATATAATACATTGTTGTATCTAATCTTTTGCAGTAGATTTTGTATACTGTGGCATTTTTCAGATGATAACTAGCTTTGTTTGTGTAATTACCTTCACCTTATCCAGACTGCTGGCATCAGCCTTCCCTGCACCGCCATGATTCTGTGGATTCTGGTGTTTCTAAAGGAACTCATGTTGGGCTTGCTGGCAGTCAGCCAGGTTGGCATGGTTCTTCACGTGGCCATGATGGCATGAGTCAGAGAGGAGGAGGAACTGGATCTCATCGCCACTGGAATGGCAATTTCCACTCCCGAAAGAGTTCAGCATTTCAGGAAAAGCCACCTGCTGAAGCTAGGGAGGAGAAGGAAGAGAAGGAGAAATTGCAGTTTGAGGAGGAAGATTTTGTAAGTATACTCTACTTTGAATGAAATTTCAAACCATCTTCTCATTAGCACTGGAAGATTTCTAGCTACATCAAGTATTACACAAGAAGACTCTCATTTCTATAATAAGATTTCCCTTAGCTTTCCCTCACACTCTCCTGTGCATGCCTCACATCTGCTCTACAAGGTTCCCATTCTAGAATGGAAGGTGGAAGGAGAGGAAAAATTCATTCTGTCACTGAATGCCTTTCTGTTACTATAATGTGTATTTTGTTGTACTGTAATATATTGAGTATTCTACTTGCACTGTAATTGATTACTGAATAGTTTTCTGTTTTGTACTCACTAAGATGTTTCTTAAATGTAGTATCTTTTTCCTGGAGACTGGTATAAATAAAACCATGACTAGCATATACATTATTAAAAATAATCACAAAACAGTAGTTATTCCATTATTCTAGTTACAAAGGATTCCTATAGATCAAATAAATCTGAAGGAAAACAACAAAGTTCTTCTGAATGTTCAACTGACTTTATAAAATATAAATCCTTCAAGCTGTATTCCATAACTAAGGAGGAGTACTGTATATATTTAATTTCCAAATGTAACTTAGCTTAAATTAAATTTTGGGAATGCATGCACACTTAAAGCATCATACTATTTCATGTGTTGATAAACCATTATTCAGTTATGTTACTCAGTATCCTCTGAAGTCTGGCACTAGAGAGCAAATGTTTCCACTTTTCTACAGTTGGAAGGTAAAAATACTGATTAAGTGATGCTCCAGTGTTGCTGGAAATGCTTACCCAGTCCCCAATTTCTCTTATTCAGTAGTGTAAAATGATCGAGGAATGGGCAATATTCTTCTTTGTTTTTATTATTGCATCCCACTAAGTCTAAATACAGTTTAAAATAATTCTGGACTTCAGGTACATTATTTATACTTACCCTGTGCAGTAGTCAGGCTGAAAAAAAGTGGTTGGCCCAAACTCACTCAGTGAGCTCTGACCATTGAGAGGGACTTAAACATAGTTGCCCCAACATCTTAATCATAATGATATGCTAGTTTTCTCCATAATGCATGAGACAACCTCAGTTATTCAGGAAAATGTAAACTGATATGAAGAAGTGACAGCTAATGGAGAAATGTGTTTATCTAGAATATTTTTATTCTTAGTTAAGTACATCAGTCATCAATACTGACATCATCCATTAGTATACTAACTTGTTGAGCAAGGAAAAGAAGGCTATAATATGCTGAAGTTATAAGATTTAAATGCTTTATACCAAGGGAGGACAACCTTCTACTATCCAGAGGTAATAGTAGGAGAGGCCAGGATTTTTTGTTTATTTTTCCAGTGGCGGGAGGAAACGTCATTTCTAAGAATGATGTTAAGCTCGTATTATAGAGTACGCTATAGTTTCCACACATTTCCTGCATTAAAGTGATAGTCAGCACTGGTAATTTTGCAGTCATAGAGGGACTTCAGGTGCCAAAGATTTTCTCTCCTAATTGTGCACCAGCATCACCAAGCTTGTAATTTCAGTACATTTATGATTGTTTCTTATCATTTTAACGTGCAACAGTTTTCTCCTGCCAAAATCCATTACAAAACAAATGTTAGATTCTATGTGGGTAAATTGCCAGAATCTTAATATATGTAGAGAGAAAAGAGTTGGATTAAACGTTTATTTCTAGCTAGGAAATTTAATGAAATTGAAACTCTATACCAAAACATGCATTTTGTGACTTTTTGGTGTGCTTGTTACAGCCATCATTGAATCCAGAAGCTGGAAAACAGAACAGCCAGGGTAAACCAGCTGGAACTCCATCTGGTGTTTGGGGTAGGTACTGAGGCATTGGCAGACAGGTTTTTTCTGTAGTAAATTATAGAAATAGTCTAATCTTGTTCTATTTAGTCAATTTATGAAAAAAACAACCAGGTAAAGTTTTTCTTCTGTTTGTGTTATATTAGAAATATAAGTAATAAGCTGTGTATCTAAGTGGCTTGTCTATTTTTAGGAATGGTAGAATACTGTGCAGAAACTTGATACAGGTACATTGCTCCATTCCCCCCAGATGTGGCATTATTATTGATTCGTAAACCTCAGACATTTATGTACACTCAAGAAATGCATGAAGAGCCTAAGCACCAGAAGTTGTAAAAAGTTGCTTTTAAACATCATGCTTATTTAGTTGACATTGGATGATGTAAATCCATCTTGCTTAGAAAGGTCCTTAGCGGTCAATGTAAAGTTTTTCATATTTAAATATATGTAATTCTGTCCATTCCAAAAATGAGATTCTTGTGACTTTCATATGGAAGATCATATATTATCATAAAGACATTTCCCTGCTGCCCAAAATATTTACATCAAAACCATCAGATACATAGCAGAAGCTAAAGCTGCTGTATTGGCATCCTTGAGTAACTGCACAGTGCTCAATTCATTCACAAGTGACAGTACCTCAAACAATGTGAATTGACACTTCATTACTACAGGTAGTCCTCAACTTAAGACCACTTGTTTAACAACTGTTCAAAGTTACAGTGGCACTGAAAAAAGTGACTTACAACCAGACCTTGCACTTACGTCCGTTGCAGCATCCCTGCAGTCACGTGATCAGAATTCAGGTGCTTGGCAACCGGCATATATTTATGACAGTTGGAGCATCCCAGGGTCACGTGATCACCATTTGCAACCTTCCCAGGGGGGCTTCCAAAAAGCAACATCAATGGGGGAAGCTGGATTCATTTAACAACCGTGTGACTCGCTTAACGACCACAGCAAAAAAGGTGGTAAAATCTGGCACGACTCACTTAACAACTTAGCAATGGACGTTCTGGTTCCAGTGGTAGTCGTAAGTTGAGAAGTACCTGTATTTTTTTTCTCGTAGTTGTATCTATAGCAGGAATCCTATGTTCTAAGAAATACTGCTTTTGCTACTCCAAAAAAATGTACACTTACCCATATTGAATTAGGTTCAGTACTATACAGGTACATATTTCCTTAACAGACTATGAAAAACTTAATCTCTTGAGCATGCTTAGCTTGCTTGGGATTCTCTTTACCAATTCCAAACTGCTTTCTTGAAGATGTATTTGATGTCTACTCCCATAATTCCCAACCTCATGAAGTCCAGTACATGAATGAAAACCTGTTAAATACGAAGAGAGAGACATTGATTATAATACAACACTCAGTGCCAGTTGAAGGGTCTACTAAGAATTAATTTTTATTAGCCAACCGAGAAATCCAGTCCAACCTATGATCAATCTATGATGTTTTATTAATTCAATTTATCAGCATGAATATTGACTGAATTTATATAATTCAAGGGTTTATTTGCTTTTTTAATTGTTTTCTGTCTTAGTCACAGAATGTGAGGTCATGTGAGATTTTCATATTTCAATATTCTAAGGACTTTTACTAAAAATGTAACATGAGAATTAAAGACTTTCCAGTAGGAATTGTACTTTTTGTGGCATCAATTATTTTTCAGCTACAGGTTTGTTCCAGACTGGATCGCTGAAACTCTGTTCCATGAACTTCAGAAAACCTATAATAGGGTTTATTTTTAATTATTTTAAAATCAGAATTCATATTAAGAGCAAATCCGGTCATAAAAGCTTTTTCAGCTAGGTTCTTCAAAGTGGTGAATTGCTTTCTCTGACAGCCTTCATAATCTAATCCAATCATTTTAGTACAAATATTCTAAACTAAATACTTTGTTTCTAAAACTAGTTGCCTTGCAGCTTCAGAGGGCCCTGGATGAAGCAGATTATCTGGACCCCTTCCAATCAGGTTTCAGGCAGGAGTATGGGACTGAAACAGCATTGATTGCACTTTTGAATGACTTCAGGAGGGAGCAGGATGGAGGTAGCACTCCATCCTTGCTCCCCTTGATCTCTCAGCAACCTTTGATAGCATCCACCATGGTATCCTTTGAGACCAGCTACAGGGGCCAGGTGTTGGGGCACAGTGTTATGCTGGTTTTCCTCCTTTCTCCAGGCTCGATTCTAGTCAGTGTTGATGGGGGAACATCTGCCCCACAGCCCCTCTTATGTGGGTGCCTCGTGGCCCTGTTTAAAGAACAGGTGGCAGCTGTGGCCAGGAGGGCCTTTGCACAGCTTTGTGTTATGTATTGATTGCATCCTTTCCTGGATCAGGAGGCAATTCACATGGGCACTTATGCTTTGGTCATATCCTAAGTAGATTACTGCAATGCACTTTATATTGGGCTGCCCTTGAAGAATATTCAGAAGCTTCAGTTGGTCCAGAATGCAGCAGCCCAGGCAATTATGGGTTTATCTTATTAATGTCCATGTTACACATTCGCTCTGCAAGCTTCTGGGTACAATTCAAAGTGCTGGTTATTACTTTAAAAAGCTCTACATGGCATGGAGCCAGGATATTTGAAAGACCATCTTAACTCCCATCATATCTACCCATTCATTAAGTTGGGCAGGAGAGGCATGCTCCAGATCCCACCTATTAGGGATGGTCATCTAGTGGGGCCCAGGAAGCAGGCCTTTTCCTTAGCTGTGCCTGCCCTCTAGAACATCGTGCTGCCCAAGGTTTGGCTAGCTCCAACTCTTTTCACCTTTCAGAAAACCTTGAAGACCTGGCTATTTTACCAGGCATGGCGGCTGGGAGTGTGGTTGAGCTGACATTATTGGTGAATGGTACTCTTGGGAGCCACTTTATATTAGTTGTCTGGGAATGGTGACCATATGTATATGTGCGCGTGTGTGTGCACAATTTTAATTCTTGTTAACTGCCCATAGTCGCATTGGTGTATGTATGTATGTATGTATTTGCACACCACACAAGACGTCCTCGCTTAACAATGGTAATTGGGACCGGAATTTCCATCACTAAGCAACCAGGTCGTAAAGCATGATGTCACGTGACCGCGCCACTTAGCATTGGCACTTCCAGTTGCGATCGTTAAGCTAATCGTGCCATTGTTAAGCACATCATGATGTGGTCGCCATTTGTGGCCTCCTGCCAGCTTCCCCATTGATGTTGCTTGTTGGAAGCCAGCAGCAAAGGTCACAAATGGTAATCATGTGACACTGGGATTCTGTGACCATTGTAAATACGAGGACTGGTCATAAATACCACTAGTTCAGTGCTGTTGTAAGTTTGAACAGTTGCTGAATGAGTGGTAGTTAAATGAGGATGGATGGATGGATGGATGGATGGATGGATGGATGGATGGATGGATGGATGGATGGAATTTTAATTCTTGTTATTCACCCAGAGTCCCATTGGTGGGATGGGTGGCTGTATACCACTCACTCTCTAGTTCAGAGTATTCCTGTTCATAAGCTCAGTTGGATTATTTAACAAACATTTCAGCTATTGAAATGCATTTTCAAATTTAAATTAAAAATGTAAACCATCTTAGAAAAGAACTAGTATGTAACAGGAACTCCAGGGAACATCCAAAAACTGATTATTTGTCTCATTCCTCCTTATATTTATTTCAACTCAGTCCTATAAAATCACCCAGCAGGCTTCCATGCCTAAGGAAAGATTACACTCATAGTCTCCTGGTTTCTAGTCCATTATTTTAGCCACTACATAGCTGGCTCTCTAATAAGAATATATACTAATAATGGCTGACACTTAGAGATCACTAAAATTCTATATTATATAGCATAGTAGATGGTCCTGGCTTATTGGCTAATTTTCAAGTGTCTAATTATCATGTAGTACACGAGTTAAGCACCATTGGACACTGACATATTTCCAAGTAAATATTTATATGATTGTGTTGTTCAACACAGATCAAACAAATGCCTTAAGACTTGCTTTGTTCAGATTTGGAAGATTAGGTGTGATTTCATTATATTTATTTACTTTATTTATTAAATGAATTTATATAGCTGCTCATCTCACCACAGGCAATTCTGGACAGCGTACAATAAAGCTAAAAACAGTAAAATACATTAAAATATGTAAAACAAAATAAAACAAAGAATAAAAGGAAGTTACAAATAAGGGAGCCACCTTACATTGACCAACACTTGCAACTAAAGTTTCAGCTATGACTCACATCAACATATAATGCCCATGTTTCAGGTAATTCTTAACATAAGAGCAATAATATGCATGATACCTAACAGAAAAGGAGAGGAAGGGTGAAAAACTAAAACTGAAATTAGGACTTCAGTGAAAGCCTTAAGCAGTTGCTAGGTTTTCAGTACTCAACAGCACTTCATTCAGTTGAAACTTATTCATGTAAAAATATTCTTACAGGATCTCTTTAAATAACTTAAATTGATTTGTTTAACATTTAGAATATTAATTGCTGATTCTCAGGTTCCAAATTAATCTCTGATCACTTCCTGCACTGACTTAACATGAGCAGGTATGAGATGGACTAGGGTGAACTCATTTTTTGTTGAAATACTAAGCTCCTTCCATGCTGTTTTATCAGAAAATCCTCCTAGTGCCAAGCAACCTACCAAGATGCTGGTCATCAAAAAGGTTTCAAAAGAGGATCCTGCTGCTGCCTTCTCAGCTGCATTCACATCACCAGGACCTCAGCTTTCAAATGGCAACAAGGCAACCCCCATTGTCCCAAGTGTCTACAAAAATCTGGTTCCTAAGCCTGCAGCACCCCCATCAAAGGTACACAGAATGTCAGTGAGTAGCTATTATAATAGTAATAGGGACAGTTGAAAAATTGTTAATAACTATATCAAAAATATTTGTGCTAAACACTAAAGTGCATTTTTATATGGTAATGATATTAACAGTATAGGAGGATCCGTGTGGTCCCCCCATCCTGACTGTTGGAAACTCAGCTCAGTTCTCCTTTTTTATGTTTTCAGTTAGCATTGCTTAGACATTTAAAAGAAGATGGTCTTCTTTTAAGGTGTCAAACAGCAGTTACAGAGGATCTGGGGGACAGTGTATTATCTGGATGCACCTGAGTTGGAGTTTCACACAGTATAGTATGGAGACAGCATTGGTTGCACTTATCAATGGTCTTTGGCAGACCTAGAGCAGGCTAGTGCATTGATTCTTCGGCTTCTTGATCTCTCAGATGCTTTTGATACCATCAGCAATAGTATCATTCTGGACTGGCTAGAGAGGCTGGGAGTAGGAAGCATTGCATTGTGGTGGCTTGCCTCCTTCCTCTTTGGTTGATTCCAGTCGGTGTTGATGGGAGAGGAGAGGAGAGATCACACCTGGGGTCCCTCATTTGTGAGGTGCCTCAGGGTTCAGTGCGCTCTGCCCTCCTGTTTAACATCTATGTGGAACTGCTGGGCGAGGTCATCTGCTGATTCAGAGTTTGGTGTCCTCAGTATGCTGATGATACCCAGCTTTGCATCTCAACCCCTGGCTGTGTAAATCACGTTGTTGAGGTACTGACCCAGTGTCTGAAGCCTGTTCAGGTCTGGATGGGGAGGAATACATTTCAGCTCTATCCTGACAAGACTGAGTGGCTCTAGCTATTTGGGCCCCCCTGGGTTGGGGATACTTCCATTGTTGGTCTTGGATGGGGTTACACTTTGCCATTCAGGACTGGTGTACCACCTGGGGCTCCTCCTCGATTCACAACTACTGCTCAAAGAGCAGGTGGCAGCTGTGGCCTGGAGGACTTTGACACAGGTTCAACTTGTGCACCAGTTGTGCTCCTTCCTCAACTGGGAGCCCTTTCAGTCACTCATGCCCTGCTTGCCTCACAGTTGGACTATTGCAATGGATTCTACATGGGGCTTCTCTTAAAGACTATCTGGAAGCTACAACTGGTTTAAAATGCAGTGGCATGAGCAATAATGACCACAACTCGCTATGCTCATGTGTCACCATTGCCACACAAGCTGCATTGGTTACCATTTGGTTTCTTAGTGCTATTCAAGGTTTTTAAAGCCCTTCATGGCATAGAGCCTGGTTATCTGAGGGACCACTTCTCTTCCACTGTTTCTGCCTGCCCAGTAAATTCAGGCGGATTGGAAATGAACTAGGAAGCATCCCTTCTCTGGCACAGCCCCACCCTCTGGAACAGCATCCTTCCAGAGATACGGATGACAAACTCATTCTCCTCAGGTTCCAGAAAGCCCTTAAAACGTGGCTTTGTTCCAAGGCCTGGGTGAATGTGTTGCGGGGTTAGTTGTTGTGATGTATTTTATTGTGGCTGTTTTTAATCTGGACTGTCCTGTTTCGCCTGTTTTTAATTGTTTTAACTGGTATTACATTTTGCAAGAGTGTTGGAATGAGTGTCCACAACAAATTTAATGAAATAGATTAATAAACATTTTTCTTCACCTTCATTTTCTAGCACTTTTTTTCACTTTGATCTTGGACAAAATTTGGTATCATTTGATATTTTTCCAAATCATTTGATATTCTGTGGGATTTTGTTGTTAGGATCTGGAATATAGCCATGTCAGATAAATGTATGATAGGGTTCCCAAAAGGAGTATTTTAAATAAGTATAGATTTTCAGAAGACAGCATTTTACTAAGTCAATGTTGGTTTTATGCAAATTTATTACTATTGTTACTGTGTGTTTCTTCATTATAGCCAAATCAGTGGAAAGCTAACAGAAGTGAACATAAACCAAGCTCACTAACCTCTAGCCGTGATTCAGCTTTTACCAGTCCTGTGTCTGTAACCAAACCAGCTGTATTAGCCAGTGGCTCTGTTCTCACCTCTTCCAAAGAGGTAAGCATGTATGGTGGAAATAAACATACAATGAATCAGAAGGGACTTAAAAAATTAACCAATTTCAGCTCTTTCTAGCAAATCAGTGAATTATAATAGGTTTACAATACAATTACTCTATCCCCAGAGTCCCTCCAGTACCACCCCTCCTATTGAAATAAACTCCTCTCGCTTGACAAAGCTGATGCGCCGCACCACAGATAAGAAGAGTGAGTTCTTAAAAGCTCTGAAGGATGACAGGAATGGAGAATTGCCAGAGCGCCATGAGAACAACAAACTGGAGGATGTAAGGGTTCCATTTCTTTTTTTAAAAATAATGGTGTCGAGATGTTTTTAAGTACTTTCCCAGTGTTTTAGAATAAGACTTCTAGAATGAGTTTGCATAGGTGTTTAGTAAACTTGCTACTCTCTGAGAGCTCTAGCATATATATGTTGATCTTGATTCTGTTTTTTGTTTTGTATAAAACAGAAAATAAAAATAAAAAATATTTATAGCAAGCAATAATGACAGATTTGAAAATACAAGGACCAATGCATAAGCAGAAGCTATTTGCCTTCAAGTACTGTGATTGCTATATATAATTTATACAAATGTAAACACTTTCATTCTGGAGGATAAATCAAGCTATGCTTAAACCTAGAAATACAAAGTACATAGCACAAACACTTAATTTTTACCATTGTGGTAGATAATTGGAATTTCTTTTCCCCTTTGGTAATGAAGAATAGGTACCCTTCTTTGAAGAAAAGGATCTGATCTAGATACTTTTTTTTTTTTTAAGGCTTCATGCATTTTTGCAACAGTACATACTTTCCCACGCATTAGCTCGACAGATGGGAATCCTCAGTCATTACAGTGATGCTGGAGTCTGTTACATGCACAGACTATTTTTTCTTCTTGATCCTGTGTTAAAAACTCACACAGGTGGTCCTTGCTTAGCTATGGTAATTGGGATTGGCAACTCTATCACTAAGTGACGTGGTCTTAAAGCACAATGTCACGTGACCATGCCAATTTATGATGGCAGTTGCAGTAGTTCCTGTTGCCATCATTAAGTGAATCCTGTGTGGTTGTTAAGCACAACATAACGTGATTGCCGTTTGAGACCTCCTGGAAGGACTTCACAACCCCATTGACTTTGCTTGTTGGAAGCTGGAAGTAAAGGTTGCAAATGGCGATCACATGACCATGGGATGCTGCAACCATTGTAATTGTGAGCTGGTTGCCAAGCACCCAAATCACTATCACAGGGTTGCTGCGATGGCCACAACTATGAGGACCAGTCATAAGTCTTCTCGTTCAGTACCATTATAACGTTGAATGGTCACTGAATGAGTGGTCGTTAAGCAAGGATTACTAGTACACAATCCTGATTAAAGGATATGCATCCAAGTTGAAAACAAATTTTATTTATTAATAATTCTATGATTTATATTCTCAAGTAAGTATAGAACAGTTTTAAAAATTACAATATAATTGTTTAATGCTTTTAAAAATCCCCATATTTTAAACTATAAGACAGTTTAAATACTCATAACATGACAGAGCAAACAAAATAGCAAACAGCATAACAGTACAAAATTAAACCGTAAAATGTCAGATGCAGAACAGACTTTATCTGACAAGATAGGTATGGTATCGAAGGTGGATTTACAACTGACAGGCCAAAAGAATGTTTTGGAAACGGATATTTCACTGGATCTGCAAAAGAAACTGGCTGAGGTGTTAAAATTTTAAAAGGACAAACCATTAAAAATGACAAACCAAGAGAGTGACCTGGATAACTTTTTCCTACTGGATTTTAAAAAGAGGCTTGTTAAAGCTTGAAGAACTCTGTGTGATGTGACAAAGAAGAAATGAAGAGAAATCAAATCCAATATTTAAATGAACTAAAGATGAAGACTATTAGAAGTAAAAGGATATAAACTTGGTTTGTCTGATCAAGGTTAAAATAAGATATGTTAAACCTTCTGGCTACCCTTTCTGGACTTTCTGCTGACACCAGGACTGAAAAGATGATGTTTTATGAATTTGTTTATAGATAAGTGATGGGATATGGGATGAAGAGAG